TTTTTTTTTTTTTTTTTTTTTTTTTCCTTTTTTTGCGGTTAATCCTCACCTGAGAATATTTTTTTCCATTGATTTTTAGGGATGGGGAAAAGAGGGTGGGAGGAGAGGGATAGGCAGGCAAGAGAGAGAATCATAGATGTGAGACACATGGATTGGTTACCTCCCCCATGCACCCTAACTGGGACCAGGGAACAAACCTGCAACCAAGATACATGCCTGTCATCAGAAATAAAACCTGAGATCCTTCAGTGCGAGGGCCAATGCTCTAACCATTTCACAGGGCTCTTCCCATGTTCTTAACATCTGCTTGTTCATGAGGCCTTTTAACTTGCATGCCTTCTCTGACTTCCCTCTCACCTGGATCATTGCCATCACCTATATTCTCTCTACTCTGTGAACCTGTCTGGTGCTTAGCTATTGGAGCATGATGACAGATTGACTTGTCCTGTTCCCACGCAAGATTTCAGATGCCATAAGGCAGGACCATGCTTGTCAGATTGATATCTACCACGTCTAGCTGGTTCTGGCACATACTAGACAGGTGCCCAGTTATGGGAAGCATGTAACATGATGACTAAGAGTCCAGGCTCTGGATCCAGACTCCAGATGCACTACTAACTGACTGGGTAACCTTGAGTACATTACTTGACCTCTCAGTGCTTCCGTTTCCCAATTTATAAACCAGGGATGATGACAGTTCTAGCTTAGGTGTTTCTGTGAGAATTAAAAGAGGAAACTAGTGGCAGGTGATGTAGGGATTAAGAGTGTGGCCTCTGAAGCTGAGTCCTGCTCTGCTGCTTACTAGTAAGTCTGTGACCTTGAGCACTTTCCTTATCTCTGTGTATACATTTCCTCATCTATAAAATGGGGATGTGATACTAACAGTACCTATAGTGTAGGGTTGCTGTAAATATTGAGTTAACGAAATGAAAAATGTTTACTGTAATGTCTGGCAGTAAATATTCAATTAGTGCTTGAGTGACTAGATTAGAAAATAGTATAGAGTTGTTTATCAGGCATATCAGGAATTTAGACATACTTTAGCCAGTCCTCGGGCAGGCAATCTCATTGATAACTCTAAATGGAGGTTATAGTCAAATAGTTTTTAATCCCCAAATAATTTTCAGGGACATTGACTATGTCTTTTACATCTCAACTCTGAGTGACTTATTGTTCCCTAATTACCAGATGTTTTTATTCAAAGACTGGAGGCCCGACGCATGAAATTTGTGCAAGAGTAGACCTTCCTCCCCGGCTGCTGGCACAAGCTTCCCTCCAGCACCCAGGACCCGGCCTTCCCTTGCAGCCCAGGCTTCGCCTGGAAGGTCATCCAGAAGGACATCTGGTCTAATTAGCATATTAAGCTTTTATTATTATAATCTAGAAGCCTGTGGTCCAAGGGGTCGGAAGCACTTTCTTAGAACAAAAACAGGGTTGATAATTTGAAGAAAGCAAAAGATGGAAATTTCTGAACAATGAAAACTGAGGAAATGTTGATTTTAGCACATAGGAATAGGGTGCAGATGCTATGTGGAATAGCATTTGCTTCATGTTCAAAGACAAAATCTCACTCAGTTTAGTCTTTGCACAGTTCTTCAGCCTATATCTGTAGTTTCCATTGTGTCTTGTTATGTGTTCCCCAAAAAAGACCCTGGACAAGGATTCAGATGTGGATGTTAATTTGAGAAGTGATCGCAAGAAGCACAAGAAAGATTATAGGGAAAGTGAAGCAGGAAAGGTGCCAGTAAAAGGTACTTCAATAAATAGATTTCTACTAACATTTAAAATTACAAAACTGAATTCTTGAAAAAAATCTCAACCAATTTTTCTATCAAATTTCATCTCAAGTAAGGGCATCCTCCCAGTTGTTCTGGCAGAATTCTTGGAGCCATCCCTAACTGCTCACCTTCTTATCCTCTGCAGTCAATCCATTAGAAATCCTAATGACTGCCTTTATCTCCCCTGCTACCACCTTCGCCCAGGCACCATAGCGTCTCATGCATCATTGCAATGGACTCCTAGCTGGTCCAGGCTGCCGTCATGTCTCGCATCATTGCAGCAGCACTCTAGGTGGCCTTCCAGCTGCCACTCTTTCCCTTCTTTCCATGGTCCATTCTCAACAATGTAGCCAGAGCAATCCTTGTAAACATAATTCCTCTGCTCAGAATCTTCCCATGACTGCCCAATAAAAAGTTAGTTCTTCCATGCGTCCACCCAGCCCATGCACAGCCTCTTCTCATGCTTCTCTGATGTCATCCTCCAGGCCTCCCTTGGCTCTCACTTCCATCCCTGTGGTTATCTTGACTCTCCCCTCTGCTTGTAATGCTCTTCCTCAGTGACCATCCTCATGGCTCATCTTTGCCCCTTCAGGTCTTCTCAAATGCCGTTTTGTTGAATGAGTGAATAAATGCTAACGTAACAATTACTGCTTTCTCATTTAATTCTCACAGTAGCATTGTTGAGGCTCAGAGGTTGATTAGCCTAGAGCACTTTCTTTCACGCTATCTTGACTCTGGCTCACAGGAAGGAGTATATTATACATTCCAACCCAGTACTTGCTTGCATGTTTGGATGTGTGTACATAGAAGCAAAACAGAAGTTCCACAAGATCTTAGTTAGCCTTACTACACTCTGACATTTTTCACTTTGCCCTAATCATTTTATTACTAGTTTTACACCTCTAAATTGATTTTAAGCAACACCTTTGAAAAATACTTGTCCAAACTTTTGATTCTTAATCTGTTGTTTTTCCCTGTGGCAACATCTGACCAGCTTTCTCAAAAATCATTAGCATTAAAAACAGTTCAGTACTCGGCTAAGTTGCTAAGTGTGGTATTATAAGCTTATCTCTCTCTCTGCTGACCTGTATAAGAGATGACAAGAGTTTCTTTGCACATAAATAGATGTGTGATTATAAAGACAGTACAGTAGAGCTAAAGGAGAAATTAAGATGGCTAACAGAATGGGGAAAATACCTTTATCAAGCAATCACAAATACAGGCATTAACATTTACCACTGATATGAATGATGGCAGTCAGAAATGAACTGAAAATCAGTAAAGTCTAACTGAGGAGAGTGAGTGGACAGGCCACAGGCTTTTCCCCCCGAAAGCAAAGCCCTGCCTTTGAGTTGGTTATATTAGTCAGCACCAGAACAGGGAGTCAGAAGAATGTTAAGGACATGGTATAGGATTCTTGATCGCTCCAGGTTGGTAACTTACCAGACTCTTCTTGTGGGCTCTTCTGAAGATGCCAGATCTGGTTGACCTGCAAAGACTTGTCCTTTGAAGCCAGAGGAGAACCTGCACCTGTGCTGGGTGTGGAGTTTGGTACATCCACAACTTGCTTTCTAGAGAATAAAACTGCCACAAGTAATCTTAGTTATTTTAATTCGATTTAATATTAAAAATAAATATCATAAGTCTTTTAAAGAAAAAAATGGCATTATAAAACCAAACCAAAGAGATGAGGTGTTACAGTGACATTATATCTTTATGAAATGGCTTTCTTTGTTCAGACCATGGGTGGGTTCAAGTGAAACCCCCCCTCCCTTTTTTTGATACTGAGTTAAATGCCTATTAATCCTGTGATTTCTGAAAATAAATTGCACATAATTTGTCGAATTCTTACTGTGTATGAGATGCTAGCTCACCTCATCTTTACAACAACCTTAAAGGAGGGCGTGGTCCATGCTCCCATTTCAGGTGGGGGACCTGATAATCAGGCTAATCGACAGCAAGGGAGGAGCCAGCTTTCGAACCCCAGTTCTCGGGCAGAGCCTGGACCCAACCACTAGGTTGTCTCACCTTTCAATTTGAGGAGAATGTCAGGTAAATCCTAGTTCAGTCCCTTAACTTTGAATTAGTAATAATTTAGTTTAGACTGGTTGAACATGTGATTTGGTAAGAAAATAATATTCAGGAGAATGAAAGGTGTTTAGCATACATAAGAAAACAAATTATTTTATTTAACATTTCTAACCTCTGTTAAATAGTAATTAGGATACAGTAGTCATTAGCAAATGATTTTTCACTTTCCAAATTTATGCATATTTTTAAAGTTCTGGTAAGACCTCTACTTTGCAACTTATTGTTAAATCGAATTGCTAGTGAATATATCCAGTAGTGTGGGCCGGAAGAAACTTCCTTCTACCCTCTAGATTTTCTGGGCTGGTCTAATCAAATCCACCTGAGACAGATTAACACCAGCAGATAACCAAATGTAATTACATATGGGAACCCTGCATAGATGAGAAGTCCAGAGACACTGGGGAAATGAGGTAAAGGATGAGGTAAGGCACCAGGGGGCTTCAGAGGAGAGAAGGTTCATTGTAGGATGATAAGAAGAGCAGATATTCAGTAATTAGTAGTTTGTCCTATCATATAGGGAGGTCAAAAAGGTTATCTGATAATCTTATGGACACGTCCCTAATTCAGTTCTTCTAGGTTGCTCAGAAGGCAACATTTCTCTTGGGGTATCTGTTGCCTTTAATAATCCACATACCTCAGAAGCACAACTTGGGTGACTCGTTCTGAACCCCGACATAGTAATAAAAGGACTTCCTTTCAGAATTATAGATGTCAGGCATTTCAGTCCATCACAACTTCTTCTCGGAACTAATAAGAAATAGAACCAAACAGGAAATGGATAAGGACCCTAAATAATAAACCAGTATTTTTAAATATCACTTCCTTACATACCTGCTATAGTCAGTCTTTTAATGGTATAAAAATGGCTGTGTTACAGTCTGTAGTTTCTAAAATGCTTCAATTTTAATAGTAATTGATGATCTATTTATACCATGAGACCTGTTTCCTCATATTTTCCGTGTTATTTAAATAAGATTGTTTATACAAAAGCTTTTTGTGTGCTAAATATTGGCACCTCTGAAAAGACAGGTAGTTAATGTTCCCAGCCTTTTCGGAGCATTTCACTTGGTGGAGAGCTTTTCACTGCGTTGTTCGTAATCTTACACTTTGTCTTTCAGATAAGCCCACGCGATGGAGGGACTACAGCATTACATCAACCCAGCACATGCCATCTCTCTCCTGAGCTCGCTCAACGAGGAGCGCCTCAAAGGACAGTTGTGTGATGTGCTTCTGATTGTTGGAGACCAGAAATTTCGAGCTCACAAAAATGTCTTGGCTGCTAGCAGTGAATATTTTCATAGTTTATTCACAAATAAGGAGAATGAATTGCAAACTGTATTCCAGCTTGACTTTTGTGAACCAGATGCTTTTGATAACGTTTTGAACTACATTTATTCCTCATCTTTGTTTGTCGAGAAAGGCAGCCTTGCTGCTGTGCAGGAACTAGGCTATAGTCTTGGGATTTCCTTTCTGACCAACATCGTTTCCAAAACACCTCAAGGACCCTTTCCAATGTGTCCCAACAGAAAAAGAATATTCGTAGAGCATGATGAAAACAGTTCTCAAAAGAGAAGTGTCATTGTCTGTCAAAGCAGGAACGAGGCACAAGGGAAAGCCGTTAGTCAAACTCCACCCGACATAAGCCATACTCCCCAGCCCTCCCCAAACGTCGCCGTCAAGGCCAATGCCGGTAAGCCACAGGTTTCCAAACCAGTCGAGCCACTTCACGATATGTCATTGACTGAAAAGAGTTGGCCAAAAGATGGTTCTGGGGGATACACCAAGTCTCTTGAGTGTGCTGGATCTTTGGAGGATGCTAACAGAAGCAGCCTGGCGAAAAGGAACGCAGCCCTGTCTCCCGCCCCTCTGCAAGACAGAGAGGCCGTGGACGACAAACCAGGCGGAGGCAGTCAGCTGCCCAAAGGAAAAGCTATAGAGCTGGCTCTGAAAAGGCCCCGGCCGCCTGTCCTGTCTCTTCGAAGCTCATCAGAGACTCCCTATCTATTGAAAGAAACCAGCAGAGGAAATGGCCCGGGCGAGGACAGAAACTTGTTGTACTATTCCAAGTTGGGCTTGGTGATCCCGTCCAGTGGGCCTGCTTCTGCAAACCAAACCATTGACAGAAGCGGCCCGCTTGTGAAGAGTCTCCTGCGGCGGTCACTGTCGATGGACAGCCAGGTTCCCGTCTACTCGCCCTCAATAGATTTGAAATCTTCCCAGGGGTCGTCGGCAGCGCCAGGCGATGCACCGGGGAATGTGTTTTGCGCTTTACCTCAAAAGTCATCTTTAAAAGAGGGGAGTGAAAAGCCAAGCCCGGATGATGGGACTCCTGCTGCCCAGCCCCACCGCCTCCGGTCCTTCAGTGCTTCTCAGCCCACAGAGAGGGAGGGCGCAGCCCCCGCTGCTGAGGTTCGAGTCAAGACGGAGCCCCGGAGCCCATCCGCGGATCCCTCTGACATCATTCGGATCACTGTGGGAGATGCCGCCGCCGCCGCCGCCGCGGCATCCGGCTCGAGAGACCCTCCTCTGAAAGCAGAAGACGACCAGAAAGACATGAGCCGACTCCCGGCGAAAAGGAGGTTCCAGGCGGACCGAAGGCTGCCCTTGAAGAAGTTAAAGGTGGACGAGCACGGCTCCCTGGTGTCAGAAGATAACCTCGAGGAAGGCTCAAGCCCCACGCTCAAAGCAGACTTCCCAGATTCGGACTTGAGCAAAGATGAATTTGGTGAGTTGGAGGGAACAAGACCAAACAAAAAATTTAAATGCAAACATTGCCTTAAGATCTTTAGATCAACAGCAGGTCTTCACCGGCACATTAACATGTACCACAACCCAGAAAAGCCCTACGCCTGTGACATCTGTCACAAGCGGTTTCACACAAACTTCAAGGTGTGGACCCACTGTCAGACCCAGCACGGCATAGTGAAGAACCCGTCACCGGCCTCTAGTTCACATGCCGTCCTGGACGAAAAGTTCCAAAGAAAGCTGATTGACATAGTGAGGGAGAGGGAGATTAAGAAGGCCCTGATCATTAAGTTGAGGCGCAGCAAGCCCGGTTTTCAGGGGCAGAGTAGTTCCCCAGCTCAAGTCATCAAGAGGAACTTGAGGTCGCGAGCCAAAGGCGTGTACATGTGTACTTACTGTGGAAAGGCCTATCGCTTTCTCTCTCAGTTCAAACAGCACATAAAGATGCACCCCGGAGAGAAGCCTCTCGGAGGACACAAGGTCGCTAAGCCGAAAGCTCTGGCTCCTGACGGTCCGGTAGCGAGCAAGGAGGTTTTCCAGTGCCGCCTCTGTAACGCTAAGCTCTCTTCTCTCCTAGAGCAAGGCAGCCACGAGCGACTGTGCCGGAACGCCACCGTGTGCCCCTACTGCAGCCTTAGGTTCTTTTCGCCCGAGCTCAAGCACGAGCACGAGAGCAAGTGTGAGTACAAGAAGCTGACGTGCCTCGAGTGCATGCGCACCTTCAAGTCCTCCTTCAGCATCTGGCGGCACCAGGTGGAAGTGCACAATCAGAACACCATGGCCCCCGCCGAAAACTTCTCCTTGCCCGTCCAGGACCACAACGGGGAAGTCAGCAGCTCCTCCAAGCCCCAGGCCCAGGCCGAGCCTCAGAAAGCAAACCACGTGGTCACCCCGAAAGACGACAACGCGTTCAGCGACTGCTCAGAGCAGGTCAACTTCGACTCGGAAGACTCCTCCTGTCTTCCCGAAGACCTCAGCGTTTCGAAGCAGCTGAAGATCCACGTCAAAGAGGAGCCCGCGGAGGAAGCCGAGGAGGTGGCGCCCGAGGCCAGCACCGCTCCCAAAGAAGCAGCTTCCGGCCAGGACCCGGGCCTGTGGCCCTGTGAGAAGTGCGGCAAGACGTTCACCTCGCACAGGCAGCTGGAGCGGCACCAGGAGCTCCTGTGTTCCGTGAAGCCGTTCATCTGCCACGTCTGCAACAAAGCTTTCCGCACCAATTTCCGGCTCTGGAGTCACTTCCAGTCCCACATGTCTCAGGCCACAGAGGACTCGGCGCATAAAGAATCTGAAGCGTGCCCAGCTCCCACAAACTCTCCGTCGCCGCCACCTCTGCCCCCACCGCCGCCGCTGCCCAAGATCCAGCCCCTGGAGCCCGACAGTCCGACGGGGCTGTCTGAAAACGCAGCCCCGGTCACGGAGAAACTGTTTGTGCCCCAAGAATCAGACACACTTTTTTACCATGCCCCTCCCCTCTCAGCGATCACATTCAAACGCCAGTTTATGTGTAAACTCTGCCATAGGACATTCAAGACCGCCTTTAGTCTTTGGAGTCACGAACAAACCCATAATTAAAAGATCTCCCCTCTTCCCTGGAACGGAACGGGGGCGGCCTCCAGATTTCAGCCTAAGTTGTGAAATGTGTCATATAAAACAAAAATATTTTTTACAGAATAATAATAAAGGTTGGAAATTGTTACGCTTAAGTATAAGTTTGAGGTAAACTAATATTAATGACTAATGTCTACCCAACTTAGGAAAACACTTAAAAAAATACTGTGTTTCTGGACCTTCCAGTCACAGGACAACTTGACTTCATTAATGTTGAAATTGATTGGTCTTGGTTGTTTGCATGATTCCTCATCCCACAGTGTCAGTTTACTCTTTAATTGAGGTGGTTTTGTTTTCTTACTGATTTGCAGCTAGGGAAATACTATTAAAGGATTTCTGCTTTTAATTATATCAGACACATAAGTTCTAGTTAAATCTCAGCCATGTTCTTAAGTCCCAAAACTGGAAGAAGTGGAGTAGTTTGCAGTGTTGATTTAGGTCTTTAGAATACTCTAGCAATAAAAAAAGTGATAAACCTCAACTTTAAGAAGTTATCCTGACACTTGATAAAAATATTTGACATTTCGTGGTCATGTAGAACTTTTCGTATGAAAATTGTGAGAAATTTAAATCAGCAATAGTAATATTTAGACTTTTATAAAATAAAAGCTTTCTCTTGGGTCACTTGGTGTAATTATTGCTGGGAGACTCGGGAGACGAAAATATTAGCATTTCTGGGAGGCCCCTAAGGTCAGTTTACAAAAGCTTCAGTGGGGACACGTGTTGTGACCAGATTGCTGCTGTGCTGTGTCCACACAACAGTGCAAGGTCAGTCCAGCACTGAAAGGACTTAGATGTTTGGTTTCCTCTGGCTTATGCTTCCACAAGTTGAAAACCTGAGTGTATTTGGGACAGAGATAACGTGGCACTAATTTTGAAATTAATTTTAGTATTACAAAAAGGTCAGGACCTATATTTACAGAGTCAGCCCAGGGGCTCTGAATCCTGAATTACTATTCACTTCCAGAGACGTGAAGCAGAGGGAGAAACACCACACTGCAGTCTCCACATGCTTTTCAAAAACGATATTGACAATATACAGTTTCCTACCTCTTTGTCTTGTGATAAATTCTATTAGAATTGGTTGGAGTTTGTCGTGGTAAAGCGTCCATGTGGTGAAACCGTCTTGCTTCAAGTCACTGCTTAGCATCTCCTACATAGTTGTTTAAGTACTCTCAAGGGTCCAAATTTGTTTTGTTTTTTTTGTTTGTTTGTTTTTTGTTTTTTTACTTCTTTTGGCCCAAAAGGTTAGAGCTTTTTTTTTTTTTTTTTTTTTTTCCCTATTTCATATGAGTTGTAATTAAAAGCCTTTCCATGGGTGTTATCCAGAGTTCCAGGGGCTGTTTGTAAAGGTACAATTTTTATGTTACTTGTTTGGGGTTGTCGGATATATAAAAGTAGAAAAATTGGAGAAACTACAAAATCCTTTTAAGGTGATGTGGATTAAGACTCCCAAGTTTATTAATTTTTTTTTTACAAGCTATTCTTTCAAAAAAGAAAAATTAACTACTGTGACTAAGAAATAGTACACTGAGTACTTAAATTTGTGCTGTAGCAGAAAAGAACTGTCCTTATCAAACTCATTACCCACATTCCAAACCAAAGGTAGGAAGGACAGTCTCTTTATTTGAAACACAAACATTTTAATATTGATTTTTATGAAAATTACATATGAAATTTTGCCTATTATTTTTTTCATTTGAAACTCAAAAGTTCTAAAATATTTGAGTGGTTACTTCCTGTTTCTGTTCTTAAATTTGATAGTGTAAGGAAAATAAGTTACAATTAATTTTATTTTAATTATTATTACCATCTTTATATTTCTTAAAGAAGTCTGCATTTTAGAGACAAAACTAAAGCATACAATTTAATGTCAAACATTAGGATGGATTATTGTCCATTGAGTTCATTCCCTGTATGATGTGGTATTTCTTACTCTGAACACCTTGGTAGCTATCTCTTCAGTAGAAGACAGTTTCCCTTAGAGTAATCATTACTTATGGCTGTTTGAATATCTAATAAATCCTTGACACACAGTATCTTGGCATTGTAAATTCAGTATCCCAGGACTTGAACCTTTATGCCACTTTTTTGAGGTTTTTTAAATAAAGTTGACCAGTAAAATATTTTTGGCCTAAATATAGGCTCTGCGAATCTGTTAGATTTTAAGAATTGCCAGTGGTTTATCTTGTTAGTTCACATTTTTGTCAAGCCAAGGAACGTAAGACTTCAAATAAAATTTTGAACCAAAAACATTTATAATGCAGTTCTGGTTTTTCTATTACTTTTTATACTGTATCTTAAAAGCATTAGGCTGAAAGAGTTTATTTTGGTGGTCAAAAAAATAAAATATGCTTCCACTCGTGTAACTATTTTAAGCGTTAAGAAGTAAAATAATGAAAGACAAGTTTATTGCTTTACTCAGTAAACAGGTTTTTAAAGAATATCTCAGTAGGCAAATACTTGGTGAAGATGACTTGATCTTTCATTGTTGCAACTCTTTAGCTAGCAAATATATTCTTGAAAAAGATTTTTCTGATTGTAATTAGTTTTGAAAGTGTAGAAAGCTCGTTATTCCTTGTAAGTATTCAGGATGTCTGCTTTTTTATGCAGTTGTGGAAAGAATGTAAGATGTTTTAATATATTCTTTGTTAATCTGAGAACTTGTTATTGAATCATTTTTTTCATGTTGGGGAGGGAGGGAGGAACATAAAACATGTTTTTATTAAGGTAAGCAATGGAGGTAACATTAGTGCACATTTTTATAGTAATATTTCAAGAATAATAGAGTGTTTACCTTTAAAACTGGTTATGGTTCGTATGTATTTATAATTTTATCAAAATATTCAGCTAATGATTCAACAGTGATGTCATGTGCATTTGTGGGGAGGTTAAGTGGTTCTTGGTTTTCTGATCTGAACGAGTCCTAATAGCCTTTCTTCTCTTTAAAAATATGCCCCAGTGCTTAATTGGTTCTACTCTAATCCACACACAGCACCCACTGGTGCTGAGAACAGACACAGACCAGAATAAAACATGGCCTTCCTTCCCTGGAGGCAAGGGGGTGTCATCCACAGGCCAACTGGCCACGGTGAGGGGGAGACAGAATTAACTCACCGGAAGTTGGCCTTGTTCCCTCTCAGTGTGAGTGTGTGTTCCATAATCTGGAACTCTGGGAAGTGAAACTATTTGCCTTTTCTTACTACAAAAAATAATTAGATGTCATTCATAACAGATTTCTTTATAAATTGCACTAATTAATATTGGAACATTACATCAGTTTCTGATGTATCAATGTTTTTGCAGTAATTGTGAAAAGCATGGGTTTAAATAATGCTAATACGTTATTTAATAAGTTCTTTAACACTGGCCTTTTTAAGTTGTAAAGATGGGTTTTTCCCTTGTGGCTTTAGCACTTTAAGAAGTTTGATGTTTGCCTAATTTTTGCCATGTTTGTTCAGTGCTTCTCTGGCTACGGCATTTCCACACGACCAGGAAGAAACCGAACAGTCAGCGTTTAAATCTGGAGGAGAAAGATGAGTTCATGTGAGGCTTTTCAAAAATTCCTTATTGAGACAGTCATTTGGGAACCAAAGTATTTTGCTGTAAATCTGTAAAATAATTGAATTCAGTGCTCTTTGGTCATTTGTTAGTGCTGTCCAGATTTTCCAGTTAACATACTTGGTTAATAATGATATTCCAAAATGATCATTTCTTATTGATATTAATCCAAGACTATTCAAAACTTTCATTAAATATATGCTTATTGTTAAGAGAAAAACAAATGTGGCTTATTGTGTATATTTTGTTGTTATATCCTTAGCAGAATAATTCATTGTTTGATTTTATTTAGGAATAAGCTTTTTTGGACTGAAAATTCATAGTCAAATAGGATTTCTGTGGAATGTTAATCCATTGCTTATTCGTATCCAATTCTGTTGTCTGTTTACTTTGCTTAAATCTTGACTAAGAATGATGGGAGTAAATAAATTTGTACTGTATTTTGTTTGGAGTCTCAGTCTCATTGGTATGTTTTACGCTTTGATACTAATGACCGATAGCATTTATTTCTGAAAGTGAAGATAAAACCCATCTACTTAGCTAATATGAATAACCACCTGCAAGTTGTAAGAGATTTAATATTCCCCATCAGTTCCACATTGCCTGTAGAATTGTTTGCACTAAAGCTTCACTAATTTGGGCACCAGAAATATAGCTAAAACCATATAAGCAGTAATCTGCCTGGCTATCTTTTTCTTTACTGTTCAAATTGGTATTTTTTAAAAATGATTGTGGAGGTGAATGCATAAAAAATTCCATATCGTGATATAAACTTTCTTAATTTTATAAGGCTTCCATGTTGTAGCATCTTTTTTCCTTCTAAGATGGCTCTTCCATTAAACCAGCATATGTTAACTTCATTATGGTATTCTAGAGGTCAGGTGCACAGATTCATGCACTGGTGGGGTCCCTTGGCCAGGCCTGCACCCTCTCGTAATCTGGGACCCCTCAGGGGATGTCAGACTGCCAGTTTCGACCTGATCTCCCCAGGCCAGGACAAGGGACCCCACCAGTGCATGAACCCGTGCACCAGGCCTTTAATATGCATCTAAGATCTTTAGTTAATCTCTTCTCATCCTCCCCCTTTCCCCTTCCTTCTGAGATTTATCAGTCTGTTCCATGTTTCCATGCCTATGTGTTGAGCGTCTGCCCCCTGATGGTCAGTGCATGTCATAGCTACCTGTTGATGGCCAGTGGCTGTGGAAATAGGGAAGGAGAGATGGACCATACGGTTCTTACTAGTTCCCTCCACCCAGGTTTGCACTTGCCTCTTCTGATGGTTTCAGTTTCCTTGCCCTGTTACCCTAAACTAGTCTTTCTAGGGAACCTCTGGCTAAAAGTTTCTTGAACACACTTCACCAGGAATAAGTGGCACACTCTTTATTTGGATCTCCTTTAGCCTC